TTTTTTGTGATCAATATATCAAATTACATATTAGCCTTCTCAAAATCATTTAAAAAGCTTATCATTCATTCCATATATTTATACAAACTAATTTTAATCTCTGCATATTCAAAGAAGTTACCATTAAAATGAAATACGAGATTTAAAAAATATCCATTAAATTGCAAATCACAATATGATTTGTCCCATTTTTGGACAATAATTTCCAAGATCTCATTATAGGCTGGCGCTACTCCAACTAAGTTCTTTGTTATTTGATCATTTGCTTTATTGATAACACCATAGATGAAACCCATTCTTTGACAAATTTTCACAATAAAAAAGTCGTAACACTTCAACCAAACGCTTTTGTAGTATTAAGATTATTTTTTCATTTGTTTACATTCATATTTTTGGGCGCATGCTCTATCATTCAATTCTTGGAAAGGAAACAATATCACTAAACGATTTCTCACTCCATAAATATTAAAGCCAAATAAATTGTAACAAATCTTGTGATGATTGGCTTAGTAAGATCTTTATTATTAAACTCTCTTTGAATTCAACGCTAAACAATCATAGTAGATGTAATCGCTAACTCTTTGTTTTAATCAAAGCAATTTTATGTTATGGCAAGTCTCTGGACTTTTCTAGTAATAAATCAAGATATTGTGTCATACAAGGAATCCAATATAAATGCTTTCTTTTCTCCATTAAAATTCTCCTCACCGCCTTATATGCACTTACATTATCTTTATCAATTGAACAACAAGATTTTCTTCAAATTTCTCAGCAACATTATCAAGCATCGTGAATAACAATGGCGCATCTCTAATAGAATTGGATGCATTAACGCATTTTAAAAACACATTTCCATTAAGATTTTTGACAGGTTGATCAAACTTTGTCCTCTTTTGTCTTAGCAATCATTTAGTTGTATTGAAACTCAAACTATTGCCTATATATCCTTCATTTAATTAACTATCTTATTAGTAGCATTCACTTATTCCTTCAATATTCACACTCGAAGCTAATGAATGATTGTAGGTTTAAATCCTCAATCATAGTTCCTATCAGAGCATGAGCATGGAATATACAAAAAGAATGAACTTCTCAAAGCCTCTATGATAAATCAAATCTCCTCAAAGTACAAATGCTTCGAAACATCCGAAATTATGTTGAAGACTTTTTCAATACTTGCTGCATATTTTCAGATGACACAAGCGACATTGCCCAAAAATAAGGGGCAATTGATACATCATCAAAATTTATATGATCAAGGACAAATTATCCGGCACGAACATCGATGCATTTTTAGCAATAAATATTCTAAATTCAAATTCAAGTTCTTCAAGTCCCGATTTTAACAAGTTCATAATTAAACTACTGTATTGACAAGAAGAATGCAAAGACTCTAAAATTGATTGAATCTGAGTCCAATAAAGCCGAGATCAATTCGTTGAAGTACAACCAGAGGCTTCGGATCGTCAATTGAATGGTTGAATGAACTCTAAATTAATATATTTAATATTTATAGTTGAATCAAACATCACAATAAGAGGTATCAAACGAGCTTAAAATTGCTCAATTGCAAGATCATTTAGGCGACCGTCCGACTTGGTTGTTAGGGAATCTATGCACCAAAAGACCAAAGTTCCTCTCCCAAAAAAGCTATAAATAGACCCCCCTTCACTTGGTGAGAGGGGAAGAGAGAGAAATGAAATTCCAAAGCCTATTATGGAGAGAAAACCCGACGCCATCCTCCATAGATGTCAGTCACTATCCAACACTGACCTCCGTAGCCACTGACAATCGTAAAACACCGCCTGCCATCACCCCCTACAACCACCGTCTGTCAGCGACCACTACTTCCAACTGTTATAGCCAAACTACAATTATTTTTCTTAACACATTTTTTAGCTATATAAAGATTAGTGTAGTTTTCATTGTAAAATTGTAACATCTTTCTCCCTATCGTGAGAGAAGGGCATACCACTGTACTTGAGAATATACTAGGGAATATGCTAGACCCTATGATTTTTCCCCTTTCAAGTTGTTTTCATGTAAAAATTCTAGGGTCTCCTAATACTTCATTTTTATCTGTGTGTGTTGGATCTTCCTAAAACACTTCGGACAACACTAAGATATTAAATTATCACTCTAGAGCCGCGAATTTTTTGGCACGCAACAGTAACTATGCCAATCGACAGTTACTATATGTTACTTTTTTCCTTTGCTTAAAAACAAAAGAATATTCTATAAAAAAGCTTAAATATCAGAACATATAGAAGAAATCATGAACAAACTAACTGTAAAAGTACTAAAAGTGAAGGTCATTGCAAAATTCTAGGCAAGAATATCAAATATTAAAGAAGGGAATGATTGCAAAAATATAGGCATACCTCTCACTAGTGATTGTTAGCTCATCTTTTCCAGCATGATATCTCTTTCCAACTACCTCTCTTAATCTGCGGAATGCATGCTTCGAAAGCCCCAGTTCCTTTACAGTGACAGAAAGTTTGACTTTTCTATTTTTTGGATGCCATGCATCACCACCTGGAGCAAATACAACACGAGATTCCCACCTTAGGATTGGTCCTTCACCAGGTGGATCATCCAAAACTATCTTCTTCTTGTCATTTGATTCGATAGTTTCACTTTCATCAGGGGGAGGCTCTTCTGCTGCCATGATTTCTTGGCATTCAAGAACCATTCGGTCTTCAAATTCTTTGAACATTCTGTAAGCTTCCACAGGTTCTAATTTTCCTTCTCCAACCATGTCTTCTAACTCCTTATACCTGGCCTCAACTTTTTCCTTTATCTCATCTGAAATCATAGAAGATTAATGGAATCATCCCCATCCACAAATAACAAAATAATTAAATTCATAAAGTCTTCATTCAAAGGATAATCTTTGTAAAAAACGGTCAGATGTGAATAAATGCTCTAGCTGACATGAATTAAAACAACATCGCCATAAAAAGTTTAATTATATATATATACATACACACATATATACATATATATATATCAGGTGATTTCAAAATATATTTTTGTTTCTTTTCATTTATTAACAGCCATGCCTACCAACTGTAATGTAAGAAGATTAAACTTCAAAATTTGAATATGCCAGTGATAAGAATAACAGATAATGACAATTGAGATTTCATTCATGAGACTTGTAGTTCATAATTCTTTATTCAATTCAAAAGTTTTTGCTAATTCCAAAATCATGCAATTTTTTAGTTCATTCCACAATCATGCAGTTTTTTAGTTAGCATACATCGTCCAAATTCAAACAATCTGATTCCTCATAGTGGCAAGGATGTAATTCCACACAATTGCAAAGGTGTTTACCAAACAGGGTGAAAATTTGGATGGTCTGAGGCAATACCCGTTCGTAAGGCATGAAGACCTGAAAGCACAATTTAGTGATGTAGAGAGGTGGCACCGCAACTATAACTCAGAGAATGAAAAAAAAAGATAATTAAATAATAAGTAGCTAAGTTTTTTTAAACATCAAATCAATTAACAACTATAGCAATTTAATTTCATAAATCGAGTTATCATGGCAGTTACCCAAAAGATCCAGAATACTTCCCCACCCCACCACACAACGACAATCATATTAAAGAGAAAGAAGAAAATAATTAAACCTTCGAATACTTTTTCTATCAAAAAGCTTCACTTTCCATTCACTCATTAATGATTTAATCCCATCAACACAATCACAATCACAATCACATGAAACATAAAAAAGAGAATGTTTTGACTTTGAAAACCTCCTCTGTTCAAAGCCATTGCTTTGTTTTTTTTTTTTTAATTTATTTTACTACTTTTATTAATTCAACACATCCCCACCCCACCGCCGCCAACCACCACACCCATCCAACCTATTCTTTATTTCATATTTATTGTAATCTGTATTAATTAATCCATATAAAAATCAGTTTTCATAATTCAATTTAACTCAAATCTAGGCATATATTCTCATTCAACCAAATATTATAATCATATTTAAAATCATGCTTTAAATAATTACATAATTGTCTTCGCATGGCCGCCATAATTTTAAGATATACCAAACTTTATATGTCTTTATTTTCCTACTAAGACCCTGTTAAACTTCTCAGATATTCCTAACTATATAGAAGCTTTAGAGCTACTTTCCCTTATCTTAAATATTTTATGTCACACTTTCTCATTCATTAGTAATTGGCCTAAATAAGTTGTAGCTTGGGCTTTGTATTCTATCTGCTCTTGTACCTAGGCATGAGTATGAATCTTCTCTTCTCCAAAATTTTCTTCAAACTATAGCCGCTACATCTTCTCCACTACCTATACTCACTGCCGTCTTAGATTCTTTAAAGGATACGGTTTTAAAATTCCAACATCTATCCTGGACATATCTTTCTCCACGGATACTAACTTTGTATTCTAATCTTCAGCAAATTTGGTGTTCTTATCATGTGAATAGAAAATTTCTTGATTTCTTTAACATGCTATTTATTAGGATGTTTCTTTAGAGTTCCTTTGTCTAGACTAATGAATGGTTTTGTGATGCATTCTTTTTGAAGTAATATAATTAACATTCACAAGACCAAGTGATAACAATAAGATAAAACGAAGTAAGGATTTCATCCAAAATATAGCTCAAGCAATGCAGCAAATTCATACTTATTGATTAAAAACAAAACAGTAATCAAAGTCCCACAATAGTGTAATATTCAGAGCTAATGACTATAGCCATAACTTCTGGAAAAGGAACAAAAAAATACATTGTAGCTTGTAACATCTTCTCATGTAATTAGTACTCATTTTATTCTTCCTAATTTGATCTAAACCATCATAGTAGAAATGCATGAATCATATGCCACATGTCAGTTGGTAGATAATTTCTAAGAAAGAAATTTGTTTGAGGTTTTATTATCAGTTCAAGCCTTGAGAAGATACAGATCTCCCACCCCCTTAGCGCTAAGTACGAGTCATTAGATTTTTGCCACATATTTAGAATATTTCAATATTTATTTTAATTTTATTAGGAATTATGAATTTATTTTAATTTAAATTATGACGAATTATACCAACATATATTCATAATTACCTTCAAACATGATTTAATGCACTTGAGTACATCCTTCACTTTCAAATCCCTTTCATCGTAGCCCATTCACATTGACCAACTAGCCCATTGCATAATGCTCGCCTGCCTTTTCAAGTTGATTCACGCACAATCACTCATGCGCTTACTTGCCCACATGGTCACTTACATGCATGTCTACTTGCTCACTCACCTGTATGTTTGTCAAAACGGCTTGTTGTTTGCGAACAGCTTGTGTTTGGCTAGTTAAGTTGCTCATGTTCAATCCATTTGCTAAGCAAATGAGCTTAGCAAAAATAATTTTTTTGTGTGACCAATATATAAACGAGTCAAACACGAACAAAGATTTATTTGTTCTTGTTCGGCTCGTTTGGCTTGAAATAATTAAATCATATATATTATATATATGTGTGTATGTATGTATATATATCAAGTTTTCAAAAAGGTTTGATTTTTTGCAGGAGGAGAAGGACGCCGCCGACCTCAAATGGCTTTCACATTTCATTCACGATTTTTCCAACCGGGAGTAGCAACCGACGATGGCTTCCATAACGGAGAATTGCAAGCCTTGCTTTTTGACGAAGCAACCTTCTTCAGCTACTTCATGGAGAGTAAAAAAGGAAGAGGGATAATAAATAATATCAAGTTGGCACAAGAATTAATATGTGATCTTGATACTAAATGCAACAAGCCTTGTAGAGGGGTAAACCTCGTTGTAAAGCTTGACTTGAAAAAAGCCTATGATACTATCAGTTGGGATTTTCTACTTGTTGTTCATCAAACCAGGGGCTTTAATTAAACATCTTGCAACTTTGTTAAAGGCTGGCTTGAAGGAAACTATTATCAAGTGCTTGTTAATGGTCAAGCTCATGGCTTCTTTACCTCAAGAAAGGAATTAAACAAGGACATCCTCTTTCTCCCACCATCTTTATTGAATTAAACAAGGGGATCTTCTTTCTCCCACCATCTTTATTTTGGTTTTTTATTACTTTTCTGGATTAATCAATTCACTATAGATGTCGCATCCCTCAACGCATTATAAAAATAAAAGGCTAAAATGGGGATCAGCCATTTGGCCTATGCTGATAATGTCATATTATTTGCTAATGCTTCTAACATTCTATTAAAAGTATCTATCAAACTCTCATGTCATTTTAGGAGATATCATGTATGCATTTCAACAAAGACAAATGTCATATGTACTTTGGTAAATCTGTGAGCAATTCTATGAGGGCATGGGCACAAGACTTCACTGGTTTTATCATTGTTGTTCTTCCTTTAAAGTACTTGGGTGTAAACTTGCTCAACGACAGAAGAAAGCAGGTGCAATTTGAGGATGTGGTGGACAAAATTAAAGCCAGGATTGGGTATTGAACTAACTCTTATCTATCTTTTGGAGGGAGGATTACATTACCAAAAAGTGTTTTAGCTACTATTTCTTTATATGCTCTACAGGTACTTAGAATCAAATCAAGTACACAACTGATTTTGGAGAGGCTGCTTAAGCAAATTTTGTGGTCTGGTAACCACAAATTGAAAATATGGTCTACTTGGAAAGTACTTTGCAGGCCTTTAATAACTGTGGGGCTAGGCTTCAGGCTATTAAAACATCTTGTTGAGGTTAATTATACTCTTATGTTTATTAAATTTAGAAAATCTGACTCTCTATGGTCTAAGCAAAATAAAGAATCCGTAGGAAGTTCAATCTAAGGTTGGAGACTCTAAAACTTGGAAAGACATGCTTAAAATCAGAAACATTGCTGAGGATTTTATCCATTGGAAAATTGGGGAAGGTAATCTGTCTTTCTGGTATGATAATTGGCACAATGAAGATATAAATCATTTCATACCTCAAGAAAACAATGGTTTAGCAGTGGCTGATTGTTTTCTAGATGCTGGCTAGAATATGGAGATGCTTATTAATATGTTAGATGAGGGCAGGGCTACCTCTATTTCTAAGATTCCTTTTGATAAAAACGAGAAGGACACCCTTCTCCTGTCTGAAAATCCTAACTGCTCTATCACAAAAACAATATACACAAAGCTGTTTACTTGGTATAACATTGAATGGGGTAATGTGATTTGGAACAAATATTTATCATATGTCTTTCTTCAGTTGGAGAGTCTTACATGGATTAATTCCAATGGATGATAATCTTAAATTAAAGGGCTTGAGATTCCCTTCCCAATGTATTTTTTGCAAATCAGATGAGGAAACTGTTAATCATGTGATCTTCACATGTCCCTTTTCCTTTAAAGTTTGGAAAACTCTGGGGGATCCGGTTGACATCAAAACCCCTTCATCTGGTTGGGTTGACTTGTTTCATTGCATGGAATATTGGCATCATCCTCTTCATAAACTGCATATCTTTAATTTAATCCTACTTATCTGAATATGGTTTATCTGGTTAGCCAGAAATTCTCACAAACATGAGGAAATACACATTAAACAGAAAAAAGTAGTATCTAATATCCTCTCCTATCTTCATAAACTGCTTATCTACCATAAACACAAACCAAGTTTCTTTGCTAGGTGTGACACTTTGCTGGGTATAGTCCCAACTATTACAGGTAGAAATATGGTATCTCTTGTGTGGTGGATGAAACCATCCTTTCCTTGGATCAAAGCTAATACAGATGGAAGTTGGAGGAATGGGTGTGTTGGTGCTGGTGGAGTATTCAGATCTTATTCTGGTAAACTTCTATGCTTTTTTTCCCTCACCTTTTACGGTTGTTTGTGCTCTATCTGCAGAATTGTATGCAATTTGGAAGGCAATTCATGCGGCTGTAACTTTGAAATGGAAATACTTGTAAATTGAGACAGATTCATTTGTTCACATTGACATTTTAACAAAAGGTAATGAACCACCATGGTTTCTTTGTGATTACTTAAGCATGATCAAACAACTAGCTGCCAAAATTGTTACTTCTTGGAACTATATACTAAGAGAAGCAAACTGCCCAGCCAATTATCTAGCTAGAGCTGATCCTACTTTGAAACGGCTGCTGAATGGAGATAACCTTGATTTACCTTTCTTCAGAATCTTATCTTACATGTGATGGCATTGTTTCTGTTGCTGTCTTTGGTTTGGTTGTTTTTTATTTTTGTTTACAGATTCGGGTACACAAATGGTTTTTTCTTCTTTGGAGATCTTCTACAGAGATATAATGAACATGAGTATACTTATTTTTGGAGTTTTTTGTGTTGGGTATACATGTAACAGTTTTCAGAGAACTTTTTTGGGTTAGTTGTAATCTTGGTTGTTGAACCCTATGAGTGTAGTATGTATTTTTCGGGTTTTGTTAGAGGGATCCACCAACCATAAAATCTTGTATCATTTTCTTTTATGAAATAAAAGTGCTTCCGGGTTTCCCAAAAAATAAAAAATAAAAATAATATATATGTGTGTGTGTTTTAGTTTAATTTTATTTAATTTGCTGAAATTTTATTTGTGTATGCATAGTTTAGGGTCTAAAGGTATATATATATATATATATATAATTTATTAGTATTATTTTTAAAAATTTAATTGACTACAAGGCTACAAAAATTTATCATCAATTAAAGTTATTGATTAAAACAATATAATAAGAACATGTTAAATTCTATTTAAATAAATATTTTAATATAAATAATAAGATTTAAATCCCCCCCTACCCTTAACATTCTACGACTGCGTGATTGGAGCTGTAAAAACTGCTTGTTGTTCATGAACTGCTTGTGTTCGACTCGCTAAGCAAACGAGTCAACTAGGGCAATAAAAATAGCTCGTTGTAAGTGACCAGCGTCTCGCTAAACAAACGAGCAGAATACGAAAAATTGTTTGCGTTCAATATATAAACGTGTCAAACACGAATAGTGATATTTTTTAATCAGTCGCGCATGGGCTCGCTCAAGCTTGGCTTGTTTACACCTACTCACCTGCATGCTTCCATCTTGCATCGTTGCTACCATTTTTAATTCTTCTCTTCTTCATGTGTGCTCACTCAGTTCACAATTACTAATCACATTACACAATTGACCAGCTTAACACAACTTTTAACTTCCTTAATGCACATCAAGCCTTGACCCTATCTCCTCCTTAAAAGCACATTTGTAAAAATAAATTCTAGCCAACAACTTTTTTGTCCATAATGTTTCGACTCTAGCTATCAAGCTAATGCTAACCATCTCTCACAAATCTGCCTATTCTTTATTGACTCACAACAAATATGATTACTCATTAGAGTTTAATAGCTACTGAATCAAATTCAGACCTAAACATTTCCATATTACATAAAAATTTCCAAATAGTAACAGTTTTAATTCATGAGTTATTGATGAAAGTTACATGATTATATGAATGTCAACAAATTGGCTTGATGAGAAGATAAAAGTGGTTAATGAAATTTAAAGTACACTCCAATTTCCTAGACCCAACTAAATCCTATAGTCGCATTACCTTCTTCTCCTAGCATGTTTATGCCAAGCGTGATGATGTGATTAAATACGATTGTAAGTATGATGATTCTGTGTTTAAGAAAATGAGCTAGTTTGAACAGAGCTTTTTTACAGCTAACATTACTGTAACGCAGTTTGAAGAGTCCAGTATTTATTTTTTTCCCCAATTCTTCAAGATGAAGAAACATATGCCATCAAAATTAGATTATTTCAATGTCAATCAGTTTGTGTTACCAATTATTGTACTTCCATGAGACAATACAGTTTTGTATGGCACTAATCAAACAAAGATGTAATAATGCATTGTGACTTTGGGAAACAAAACCTCCATAATTTGCTTCAAGTGTTCTAGACTTTAGATAATTTGAATTATTCATTAAGAAAAAAATTTGAATAAAATTAAAATCAAAATTTAACTTGATTGTATCTTGCAACTTGAAATATAGCTTGTTGGGCCATTGATTAATGAATTAAAATTAAAGCTTCTCATATTATCCCTCATCGCTATTCTCTCTCTACCAATGGGCTCTGGTTCACTTCCCTTCCCTTTTGGCTGCCCTAGTACCACATCAGTTTGTAGGACGGATAGATTCTAAGACAATCATCAACACCCCAGTCCTTCGGACAGTGGCATAATTTGGGCTTGCATGCAACCACTAGAACAAGGGACGGTTGAAAGATAAGAAAAATAAAAATCAACGGCATAGTTCACTAATAAAGGATAAAATATACTCTCTAAGGCTCTGTGCTACGTTTTTCAATGAACACAATTATAATTACAACCAAAGAGCCAAAATTTCACAGTATCCATTCTATGTCAAATTCCACTCAACTGCACTATTAGCACAAAACAACAGCGGAGTCCATTGATGGTAAAACCTGTAATAGGTGAGTTTTGCATGGTCATGGCATGTAATCGCTGTGAAATAAGGATCTTTGCTAGACAAGAGACAAAAATATCAGCCAGTCGGTAATCATCCTCAAAATCTTCCATCCAAAAGACAATTTCATGCCGCTTTCCGGTAACTTTATGAAGCAAAGAAACCTTCCACTATGATGAGTACAAATAAAATTTTAAGAAAATAACAGTCTCCCTTTCTGCCAACCCCTCTTCTGCTAGGTATGTAGTAAAAAAAGACTGATCTAAATTATTTCACAATGGATTCATTAGTGACTTCAACGGACAAGTTATAGAAAGAGCGGCTAGAAATATGGCGAGTAATCCTAACGGCTATCTTAATATTTACCAGGAAGGAGCTTGTCCCAGCTGAGCATATCCTCAAGTATTTGCTCACATTCCCTAGTATCCTTCAGGAAGCCCTGCTCTGTTGCCTCTTTGATCATTTCATCCCACTTTCGATCATCCATGTTAAAAAATTCATCCTTCATCATCTTCTTCTGGACGTAATCGCGCGCATTATAGAGGTCGTCAATCTCCTCATCGGTCTCGTGGAGCTCCTCAAAGTCGGATTCGAACTCGGCGTTCGTGACGTTCTCCAGCGGCACCATCCGGAGCTCGTCCATCAACTCATCATCCGTCTCTTCATGCTTCCTCGAAAGCCCTCGCTTCATGATAGCCTCCATAATCGAAGGAAGTATTTGTTCGTCCCCTTTGAAGTATTGTTCGATAAGGCCATTCAGCTCTGTAAAAATATCAAATGGGGAAAAGAGAATGAGAAGCGTGCTAATCAGAGGAGAAGAAAGGGAGGCAATGTGCGGGTTTACCTTTATTGCTGACATCTTCGAAAGAGAGATCGGCCTTCCTGGAATCGTCTATGGAGGAAGAGGAGGTGGCGAGTTCTGATTCAGCCC